CGCGTCGCGCCAGAAAGGAAGGGGAATATGGACCTACTGGACCGAAAAAATTTCCGTTGAAAGAGCACAAAACTAGGGTTTAGGGTTTAGGGTTTAGGGTTTGGGGTTTAGGGTTTACCGTCTGTCGAGACCCAGGAAGTGTACGTAGTAGTCGTAATCACTGGGCTTAAGGGTTGTTGCTGCTTCGACGAAGGCACTGCCTTCAAACCAGCTGCTGCTGCTGCTGCTGCTGCTGCCGGGAGCTGCAGCTGTTACTGAATCGGCTGCAGTGCTGCCGTCACCCAGGGGTTGCTGCTGTTGCTGCCCTGGTGCAGCAGCAGCAGCAGCCGCTGCTGCTGCTGCTGCTGCTGCCGCTGCTGCACCCCGCAGTGGAAATGGGCCTCTCTTTCTTGCTGCTGCCCCCACAGTGGCTGGTGCTGCTGCTGCTGCTGCAGCACGGCGCTCCGCGTTAAGCCTGCAGCAGGAGAAGCAACACCAAACGGGCAGCAGCTGCTTCTGATGCCGTCAGCAGCTGCAGCAGCAGCTGCTGCAGCAGCAGCAGCAACAACCGAAAAAACAGCCGCAGTACAGCACACCCGCAGCAACGGCAGCAGCAATAGTAGTAACAACAGAAGCAGCAGCAGCATCAGCCCAGCAGTACTAACAGCAGCAGCAACAGCAGCAGGAACTGCAGCAGCAGCAGCAGCAGCAGCAGCAGCACCTGGCATGTATGATTTTGCAGGGCCTCCAGAACTGGGTGACGGGATCGCGGGCCCATACAATTGCCTTCGCCGACAGCGCGTTGGGAAACTGAGCTCACAAACCCCAAACCCTAGACCCTAAACCCTAAACCCTCAAACCTAAAACCTAAAGTGCAGTGTAGACCCCCACCTCGTCGAGCTCAGCGCAGTGCAGCTCAAAATGCACAGAAGTGGTGATGCGGCGGCGGCCAAGGGGTTAAAGTATGGTATCTAGGGTTTAGGGTTTAGGGTTTGGGGTTTAGGGTTTGGGGTTTAGGGTTTACCTGCAGAGCGTATGTGTCTGTGAATCGAGCCGGGTTGAGTTGTTTCCCTCCTTTAGGCCCGATACCTTTAACTTTGCTGCTGCTGCTGCTGTTGCGAGCAGCAGCAGCTGCTGCTCCTGCTGCTGTTGCTGCTGTTGCTGCTGCAGCGCTCCCCGCAGTATGAGGGGCCCCAGCAGCAGCAGCAGAACAGCCGCCCTCCGCGACAGAAATCTGTCTGCTTACACTAGTGCTGTTGCTGCAGCTGTTGCTGCTGCTGCTGCTGCTGCTGCTGCTGCCGATGCATTGAACTTTCTGCGGCGGGCCTGAGGTGTCACTGCAGCTGCCGAGGCTGCTGCTGCTGCTGTTTGTTGCAGTCCGCTTCATCGTGCTGCAGCCTCTCCACCCCCGCTGCTGCTGTTCTTTCTGATGCTCCTGCTGCTGTAGATATCGTGCTGCTGTTGCTGCTGTTGCTGCTGCTGTTGCTGCTGCCCTCTGCGCGACGCGTTGGCTGCCGCTCCCCTAGCAGCAGCAGCAGCAGCTGCTGCTGCTGCTGCTTCGAGTGCTGCAAGTACACACCGCGTCTCTAGCACGTGGCGGCTGCAGCAACTAGTGCGTCTGCTGCGGCTGCTGCTGTTCTCACTGCAGCTGCTGCAGCTGTTTCCGCTGCTGCTGCTGTTGCTGTGACTGGGCTGCTGCTGCTGCACACCCAGCGTCTTCAGATGGACTTTTGAGTGTAAAACGGAAAATCTTACGGTGCACGATGTCGCTGCTGCTGTGGCGCTGAGGCCGTTGCTGTTGTTGCTGCTGGCGTTGCTGCTGCTGCTGCGGCTGCTTGGGGGTTGGCAGCAGCAGCAGCAGCAGCGGCTGTTGCTGCTGCTACGTAGAATCTGTTGAGTGGATCAAATAAATGTTGCAGAATTTGTTGTTGCTGCTGCTTTTGTGTTGTACTGCTGCTGCTGCGCCTCGGCTGCAGCAGCACATCTCGACGGCCCCATACATCGAGGCATGCTGCTGCTGCTGCTGCTGCTGCTGTTGCCGTTGCTGCTGCTGCTGCTGCTGTCCTCGTTGCATTCACTTTAACCTCAGCACAAATACGATGTTAACAGACATTTTCTTATTTTAGTACGAGTTAGTCCTTATAAAGAAGAGTTATTTCAGCGGCTGCTGCAGCAGCAGCCGCAGCAGCAGCAGCAGCGCGAGCAGCAGAACTGCTGCTGTCGGTGCTGCAGCAGCAAGGCTTGCTGCTGCAGGCAGCTCGGCAGCCTCCATTCCTACCCATACTCCTTCATTGTTTTGCCATTAGCAGCTGCAGCAGCAGCAACAGCGGCAGCTACGACAGCAGCAACAGCAGCAGCAGTTGCTGCTAGACAGACAGCAGCAGATAGCAGCAGAAGCAGACCGTTGCAACAGGCAGCAGCAGCAGCAGCAGCAGCAGCAGCACGGGAAGCGGCCGCCAGGGCTACGCGCTCTGTTAGCAGCTGGACATATGCAGTCCGTGTAGCAGCAACCGCAGCAGCAGCAGCAGCAGCAACCGCAGCAGCAGCAGCAGCAGCTTCATTAGCAGCAACACCCCAATTGGCAGCAGCCGCCATTCAGTAGCGGTAGCGCCACGCTGATCACCGGCAAAAAGCCGAGCAGCAGTAGCAACAGCAGCAGCAGCAGTAGCAACAGCAGCAGCAGCAGCAGCAGCAGCAGCAGCAAAGATGGTGCGGCGTATGTTTCTGCCTTTCTATTCAAAGGACCGAGGGCCCCCACGTATCCGCATGCAGGTAGTGATGCTGCTTCTGCTGCTACTTTTGCTGCTCCTGCTGTTGCTTCTAATGCTGCTGCTGCTGCTGCTGCAGCAAAACCTTATTGCTCCATATCTCTTGCCCCTCGCCTCCCCGCTAAGGATGTCTGCAGCAGCAGCAGCAGCAGCAGCTGCTGCTGCTGCTGCTGCAGTAGTTGCTTCATTCGCAGGCCGATTGTTCTCACTGCTATTCATTTGCCACGTTTGCTGCTGCTGCTGCTCCTACTACTGCTCCCGCTGCTGCTGCTGCTGCTACTACTGCTGATCCCGCTGCTGCTGCTGCTGCTGCTGCTGCTGTTGTTGCTGCTGCTGCAGGTGATGGGTACGAAGGGGAGGAGATTTTATAAGATTGTGGCAGCAAATCAGAGGGACCCTCGAGACGGAAAACACATGGAGGTGCTGCTGCTGCTGCTGCTGCTGCTCTTATTCCAGCCGTTGCTGTTGCTGCTGCTGCTGCTGCTAAGCCACTGCGTGTTTGTTTGTTTATAGTTTGTGGTTGTTGGCTACGATAACAACTTGTGCTGCTGCTGCTGCTGCTGCTGCTGCTGCTGCTGCTGCTGTGTGTTTCCAGCGGATTAAAACTGCATTACACGTTGCACTGTTAGCTGCTGCTGCTGTTGCTGCTGCTTATGTTGCTGTTGCTGCTGCTGCTGCTGCTGCTGCTGCAGGTGCTGGGTAGCTACATATCGCGGGCCCCATCAGACAGCAAGGGCGTGTCCGAGCTGCGGCTTCGTTTTTCAAGAGTAAAATTTTGGCTTGCTGCTGGCGCTTCTCTTTCTGCTGCAGCAGCAAAGGTGTTGGGGGCAGCAGCACTGATCCCGCTGCAGCCGCCTCTGTATGGGTGGAGGTGCAGAGGCAGACTGCATGAGCTGCAGCAGCAGCAGCAGCAGCAACAACAAATGATTGCGGTATGATACATATACGCAACATGCTGCTACTGCTGCTGCTGCTGCTGCTGCTGCTGCTGTTGCTGTTGCTGTTGCTGCTGCGGTTTCTTGAGTTGTTTTTTAGTGCTGCTGCTGTTTCTTTTGTTTATCTGATGCCACCGCTGCTGCTGCTGCTGCTGCTGCTGCTGCTGCTTCTGGTGCTGCGCTTGCTATCCTTATTTGCGATGCTCCACTCGTCTGTTTCACTGCTGCTGTTGCTGCTGCTGCTGCTGTTGCTGCTGCTGCTGCTGCTGCTGTTGCTGCTGCTGCTGCTGCAGGAGCGGGAGCTGCGTAGCTTTTTCAAGCTGCCTTCACCCATCAGCACGAGGAGAGTAGAAACGGAAGAAGGAAAAACAAAAAAAGAAACCGTCAGGCACATCATCAGATAAATACAATAAATCAAACCTGCTGCTGCTGCAGCAGCTGCTGCTCTTTTGCAGTTGTTGCTGCTGCAGCTGTAGCAGCTGCAGCTGCTCCAGTTGCTGCTGCTGCTGCTGCTGCTGCTGCTGCTGCTGCTGCTTCTTGAGTTCAAGAAGCACTTTTTTTGTTTAACGGAAAACGCCAACTCTTTCCTCCACCCAGTGGACCTTCAGAGTACAACGCCTTCACCTGCTGCTGCTGCTGCTGCTCCTGCTGCTGCTGGTGCTGCTGCTGCTGCTGCCGCTGTTCTGATACTGCGCTCTGGCTGCTGCTGCCGTGCTACAGCTGCTGCTACCGAGCTGCTGCTGCTGCTGCTGCTGCTCGTGATTTTGTAGCCCAGCAGCATCTCGCTGCAACTGCAACGAGATGAACCCTCCAGCAGCAACAGCAGCAGCAGCAACAACAGCAGCAGCAGCAACAACAGCAGCAGCAACAACAACAGAAGCAGCAACAACAACAGCAACAGCAACACCAGCAGCAAACTGACAAACCTACTCCCATCGGCCTGCTGCTGTCGCTGTGCTGGCACTGCTGCTTGAACTGCTGCTGCTGCAAGAGCTGCTGCAGTCACTGCTGCTGCTGTTGCTGCTGCTGTTGCTGCTGCTGTTGCTGCTGCTGTTGCTGTTGCTGCACTGTTGCTGCTGCTGCAGTTATTATGTAATGTTTGGGCCCCCTGGTGCCCAGTTCTGTTTCCTAGCGGGGCGGCGTCCATCAGCTGCTGGTGCTGCTGCTGCTGCTGCTGTTGCTGCTGTTGCTGCTGCTGGTGAGCTCTCCTCGTCCCTGGCGAGGTCTGATACATTAAAGGCAAATGTAACGCGACGCCCGCTACGGGTTATTTGTACAGACCCTTCCTGCTGCTGCTGCTGCTGCTGCTGCTGCTGTTGCCGCTGCTGCTGCTGCTGCTGCTGCGCAGATGTCCCTTCTGCACCTGTAGATACATGAGACAAACTACCAGCAGCAGCAAGCTGTTGCTGTTGCAGCAGCTGCCGCTGCCGCTGCAGCTGCTGCTGTTGCTGCTGTTGTTGCAGCATTAGCTGCTGCAGCTGCTGCTGTTGCTGCTGTTGCATCTGCTGGTGTTGCAGCTGCTGTTGCTGCCGTTGCTGCTGTTGCAGCTGCTGCTGTTGCAACTGCTGCTGCTGCAGCTGCTGCCGTTGCAGCTGCTGCTGTCGCTGTTGCTGCTGTTGCAGCAGCTGCTGCTGGCCTGCTGAGGCCCCCTGCTGGCTGCTGCCTGACACAGGGGCCCGCCATGCTAGCGGCTCC